TCCGCTATTGGTGTTTCACTTACAGCGGCGTGTAAAAAAGTAGAACCAAGACTTTTGATAAAGAAGCACGGTTGTTTAACATCAATTAAAACTTACAAGAAACTACTTGATCACATCCGGTCTTACCTACGAGGAGTTAAATATAATATGGATGATTTATTACGTGAATTTCGTATTATTGACAATATGTTAACAGACATTCTACCAATGAGGGTTAGCAAGTATGAAAAAAAATATCATAAAAAATATGAGTAACATAAAATTTTATCTAAACTTAAGATATAATATAACTAAAATAATATCATTTTCATTCTAATGCTAGTTTAATTTCCACCTTGTTAACTGAAACGTTCTAACACACAGTTTAATTTTCATCCTGTTATCTTGTGGTAAAACCCGTTTGCCGTCTTTAGAATAATTGTATTCCACACATGCGCTGTTCTAACAAATTAGTCACCTCTGTGTAAAGAGTTTATCGCATTCCAACACCTGTTGTTTTGTTTGGTTACAAAATACCTGTTTACAGGTAGTAGTAGGGGGAAAAAAAGAGGTGGGGGAGGGTGAGTCAAAACCCTGTTTTATTTTGAAAAAAAGGGGGTGGGGTGGGGGATAATTTAGGACTATAATTTATACTTGTTTGGAGGGTAAAAAAACAAAGTGAGTTGAAAACCTGGTTTTCTAATACTACTGTAGTACGAATACCTTTACAGATTCCTTTATATGATGAAGTGGGAGTTCAGGGTGATTCCTTTCCAGATTCCAATTAATAGCTTCTTGTTTATCATCGTCGATTCTTGATCCCGACGATTTACCAAATTCTATGAATTTCTTATCAAGATAGTTTTATAAGTACCCTTCCCTGATGAAATTCCATCATTCATCTACATTACGTAGAGAATTAAGTTCTTTTTCGTATTTTTTATTCCCTTGTTTGCATTTTTATTAATTTTAATATTTAGTATTTCTATTGACAGAACAAATTTATGAACGGATAAGGGACATCCTTGCCTCCTGACGGTTGCATCATGATGTGCTCTGTTTGTCTCCGTTTATTACTATGTTTGATCCCATCTCTTTAAAATGGTTGCAACTCATTGAGGAAATATATTTGTATAGAGATCGATCTATTCTTTGGCGCGTTTAATTGAAAAGATAAGAATGGCATTGTCTCACGAGTACGAAAGAAAAAGATGATAGACAATCGTGTAATGCAATTAAGAAAGATAATATCATCTGATTCTGTCGAAAGTGAAAAAGTGCAAATAGTTTTACTTGTGTGTCGTTGACATTGCCAATGATTCTAACATAGACTGATAAATGGATTTCACGAATCGGTAATTGCAAGGTAATGTGAATTTATTTTCCAATTTTCGTTTTTGTAATGATTCAAAGTTATACATAACTTCTTGAGGATGAAAATCAATACAAAATGACATTATGATTAAAAGCATATTCACGTGTATATGCTCAAGCGACTGATTGTCTGAGAGAGAGAGAGAGAGAGAGAGAGAGAGAGAGAGAGAGAGAGAGAGAGAGAGATTATTAATGATTAATGATTATGATTAATTAATGATTATTGATTATGATTTTAAACAGATTTCAATATGAAATCTTACGATGTTAATTATTGTGTTTCTTTTACTAACTTGGTACTTTAGGAAATGTCTGAACCTCGTGTTTACTTTAATTTGAGTATGTTTTAATTTGCTTTAATTTGAATATGTTTTCATTTTGATACGTGTTGACATAAATACTGTTTAACTTGGTTTGGCTACGTTGAGGCTGAGATACGTTTATACTTGTTTTTGATTAATGTAGAATCTGATTGTGGTATATTGTGCGGGTTGTTGCAGTGTATTGTGGTATATTGTGCAGATTATAATAATAAGAATAATATACTTGGTAAGTAGTAAATTTTCTCTACCCATAAGAATATATTACTTTTTCTTTTGCGATTCTAGCTAAGTTTTTGTCATGTAGATATTTTTTATTGTATACAGTATTTTGCTGTAGATACACGTCTTTGTGACTTGCATTTTTCCCCATTATCTTTAATGTGATGTGATGTGATTATGATTTTAAACGTAGCTTTAACAATTTTTCAGTCATATCGCTACAATGTCTGCAGTATGGCAATTTATAGTGATGTCTAGCACTGGGGCATCATGCCGCAGACATGAAGCATGATGTCCCACCCAGTCACATTATCCTGACACCAGGCCGACCAGTCTTAACACTAACCTCTTAATGCTGAGCGTCAAGTTTGGCAGCTGTTTCTACTATTTTTGTAAGTCTTTGGTATGACTCGACCGGGGATCGAACCCACGACCTCCTGCATCCGAGGCGGACGCTCTAGCCACTATGATACCGGAGCGGTTCATTATCTTTAATAGTGAAAATGACCGAAATCTGTGTTGAAACTTTTTCTAATATTTTCTTATAGTTAATCTGTATCGATTTTTTCCATAGGTTAATCCACGTGCTTTTAAAGTTTCCTATATAAGATGAAGTGGAAGTCCGGGTTGATACCCTTCCTTAATTCTTTCTTTCGTGTTTTGTATTTTTATTCCTTTCATGATCTCATTGTTATTAATTTATATATACAGTATTTAAACTGACGCAGGGTATAACAAAATGAATAATGGGCATCCTTGCCTCACTGACCCGTAATATCATGACCTTCTAATTTAGCTCCATCTATCCAGTTTTTTTTCCAGTCCTCTCTTGACCCATTTCACTCACAAATTATCGTTTTCATTCCTTTCTTCATTGTTTCAGTCATGTCCCCTTTTAGTAAGATAGCATGTATGTGTTCGATGATATTAGTCAAGTTATTTTGGAATTTAATGAAGCAGATTAATGTGAGTCCATCATAACCAGGGGATTTGACCTTGCTAAGTTGAGTTATTGATTTTATTATTTCCTGTTGTATAAGGTTGTCACACGTTTCTTTTTCTTTTTCACTTACCTGTTTGAAATTCATTGTATTAATGCATTTCTCTTTTGTTTCCTATTAGATAGTTTGTGTTGAATATAATTCCTGATTGCATTTCTCTTTCTTCTCTCAATATTTCATCCTTTCTTCTGTATGTCTGATTGTTCCTTTTGACTTTGTCCATTCTTCCTCTTTTCCTTATTTTTATCTCTTTTCTCATATATTGTTGTATATATTTGCGAACCATTTTCCAAACTTTCTCATTCTCGCACCGTGCGCTGTTTTTCTTTCTTTCATTTAATTAGTCCATTACCTTTTTACTTACTCTTGATTGATTCATGTAGCTCTTATCTGTTTAATTTCCTCTGCTCTTGTGTAATATAAGCACATGAATATTTTTAGCTCATTTTCCTCATTTCTCTTTTCAATTTCTCCCACAGTGTTATTGCTATATTATTATTATTATTATTATTATTATTATTATTATTATTATTATTATTATTATTATTATTATTATTATATGCTACTTAATCATGAATTCTTCTAGTATAATTTTAATTTCTTAGAACATTTCTCTTTTCTTAGAACATTTCTCTCGCCCAAAAATTACGTTATTGAATTTACACTGCCCTTGTCTCCATTTAAATTTTTACCTTGAATTTCACTGGATTATGATCTGATATTTCTTTGTTAAATATTTCACATTCCTGGTTGCTATTCATACCTTCGTTCGATATATAAAACTCGTTTGGTCCACTTCCTCTATCGTTTTTGTACGTGTAAGTAAACATCTATTTTAACCAGTTTTCGCTATATGTATCTATATAGTTTTGTTTCTTTTATCAGCTGTTTCATAACATTGTGTTTCTTTCTCGTATAGCATTCGTACCTATAAACTTCACTGTCCATCAAACCAAAATTTCTCTAAGTATTTCACAATCGTAGTTATTATGAATACCTTCATTCGTTATATAAAACTAATCTAATCTTCACCCTCAAACGGTTTTGTACGTCTTTTCACCATTTATTCTAAATGTATATATTAAGTTATTTTATTTTATTTTATTTTTGTATAGACTTCATGCATATCTCCTTCACTGTCAATTCAGTCAAAATCTCCAATTATGCAGTATTCACAAGTGAAGTATTGCATATAGGCCCTATTCTGTTAGTTTCCTTATCAACTCTGCCTTTATGCGGTTAGATCCTTTCGGAACACATACATTGTTAACATGCCACACGTTTATACTAATATGTACTATCCTTCCAAATAAGTCTGATCTAAAGTTTTAAGTTCATTTGGCCAATTATTTTTTCTTAAAGTTGTCATTCTGTCAATGCACTGTATGCTTCGGCGTAGTTAAAACGTGGATGTGGAATATACTTGTCGTTAAACGGTTATTGCCTTCACGTCATAAAAGTACCATCAGATAACAATTTTTAAAATTCTTTTGTTTCAATTTTTATCTTCTGCATTTTACAATATTATTACAAAACAGTCATAATTTGATAGCATTCAGCTTTGCTTCGAAAATATCACGATAACATGTGAATATCATTCCCACAAATTTACCTCCCTTGATAATGGTAATTCCACAGGATAAATCTACCAACGCCAATGCTGTTGACGGGAATGTGGATTTGATCATAAAGCAAAATAAAAACTTGGCTATACGCGTACTTCTTAATTAAAGATGACCTGGAAGAATGACAAGTCTTCCTAAAATGGGTCGTATATTTTTTGAGTGAGATTGACTTGTACCTGGCGGACTGTACAATGCGAGCATGTCGTAACATCACAACAGGTGCATGCAACTTCGACTTGCATACAAATTTATAAATGATATTGTCTTTATAGAAATGTACTAGATGCGCTTTCTCGTATGGATTTTGGGTGCATTTATATCCATTGTACTGCTAGTGATGATCCAAGTTGGTTTTTCATTTACCGTGTCCTGACATTTCTACGTTACCGTCATATTTTACGAGGACATGTAGTTTGCACATAGATTTATTTTCGTATAAGAGAGAGAGAGAGACAGAGACAGAGACACAGAGAGAGAGAGTGTGTGTGTGTGTGTGTGTGTGTGAGAGAGAGAGAGAGAGAGAGAGAGAGAGAGAGAGAGAGAGAGATTAAACATAGCTTTAACAATTTTTCATTCATATCCATAAGATGTCTGCAAAATAAGTTTATAGTAATGTCTAGCACTTGGGCATCATACCGCAGACATGTGACATGATGTCCCACCCAGGCACATTATCCTGACACCAGACCGACTAGTCCAAACATTAACCTCTTAATGCTGAGTGCCAAGCGAGGCAGCTGTTAGTACCATTTTTTAAAGTATTTGGTATACTCGACCGGGATTCGATCCCGCGACCTCTCGCATCCGAGGCAGACGCTCTGACCACTAGGCCACAGGAGCGGTTCCAACTTACTTTCAATGACTGTTTGTTTATAGTGGGCTAAAGCTAAATCTGATCGGGGTTTAATTTTTTGCAGTCCTTGGTCAATCTTAAGTTTTGCATTTTTCCGTCGTTTGATGTACGAGTGTAGCTCACCCCCTCTTACAATATTATCTTAGAATTTTGCACATAAAGCACCAATCTAATTCAATCTTGCTAACTATAAGCTAAAGACAAATAGGGACGAACATTTTTATTTTCCTTTAATTATCTCGACTGATTATATGATATGAATTTATCCAATTAAATCAACCTATATATAGCACTTAAAACATCTAGGATGCAAAGCACGAATCCATTATGTTCTTTAGTAGATATTGCATTTGAAAATTAAAAATATCGGTTCACATGCAAAAGAAAACTATTATAATTTGCGGAATCCATCATCAAACTTTATTGCGACACGAGATGATATTTATGTCAATTTTTTCTTTATACATGCATTTAAATAATTGCTAATTAGTCTATCCAACATACTGCATACCGAACATTTTGAAGTAATCCTATTAAAAAGAATTTAAGTTGCTCAGTTGGAATCACTATTTATCTTCAAGTCTGGCCATAGGGCAAGTCGCACGAGGCAACCGCCTTGAGCCCCGCGCTTCCCCACAATTTAATTTATTTTTTTTTTTTTGCTTCGGGCCCAGCTTTCATCCCTTGGCTGCCTCGGGCCCCGTGCATTCTAGGGTCTGGCCTGTTATCTTAAATATTTTCTCAGAGCTACTGCTCCTGAAATATTCTTTTAATAATAAATAAGTGAGAACATCTGTCTGCTTATTAGATTAATAATCTCTTGCAAGTTGTTACATTCTGAATTGAAAACTAAGTAAATATTGAAGATCTTTACCAAGTGTACGATTGCTTTTGGGAGGTGTCTTAACACATACATTACAAGACATTTGCACATGGATCCCAATATTTGCTTATAATCCTATCTAGCTTAGATAACCAAGGACAATACTAAACAAAGGAAGGAATGGTAGTTTCGTCTTTGTCTGTGATCTCATATTTAATTGAATAAAACTGTTAACAGAAGATTCCTTTTCAAAAGTTAAAATAATATTAATTGGGCGATTTCTTTTTTTTTTTACATATTTTGGGCGTAATTCTGTCAGCGAATTTCTGAGCATGTCATCATCAGTAACAGCCTCCTGCATCTCATCGCTTGATTCTTGGATATTGCATCTTCTCACGATATTGGATGAAACGAAGAATATTCAACATATTGATGAATATTTATGCTTTTTAAAGTGAACACTAGTTGTTAAAGTGTTGAATCCGTTTAAACGATATCTGCATCAAAATAATACTTTATTTTGATATCTTGAACGTACATTAAGTGAAGGATTAAATTTATTGAAACATCATCTCTCTCGTCTCTCGGGTTAGGAGCGTATCGAGAATGAAATTAATGGTTTTAAAACCATCGCCCAACAACAGTGCGATGCATAGAACATGTTGCGATATTGCATGACGCTCTCACATATTTCAGCATACTAAAGTTTAACGGACCATCCATTTAACTAATTTGGCCAATATGCTTAATATAATTAAAGCCAAGTGTTTTCTATTCAAACAAGAATCCAGATACATATCGATATATAGTTGTGCACAATCAATACATATCTGATTTTCGATTCAAAATTAAATATGTAAAATCTTAAATAATGATAAATATATAGCGATGCTTACGTAGATATTACGTACATGTACATGTATATTGCGCTATTAGTGTGCTGCGTGTACATTTCTCTCAGTTAAAGTCTTATTATGTTATTTATATTGACATTGACAACTTAATCCATTTTTTGTTAGGAAAAAAAAGTCATACATAAATACATGCGTACGTAAAGTCACATTTCTATTTATAAAGCTGCTTAGTCAATAATTTTCACCTTATGGGTACCATTTCTGTAAACATGTTTGCACTTTGTTTTCAAATTTATTTGGATGCACTGGTAAACCTCTTCCAGGCAATTCTAATCAGAGATCTTAACAGAGGAAGTTCATCCGCCGTCATAACTAAACAGTCGTGCGATGTCGTTTGAAATTCTTTGCTCCACGGAGATTCAGAAATGTAAAGAGGTTCTAACTCCGAA